AATAGTCCGTCACTCGATACTCTCTTTCGCAACAATGCCAACAATGTATGAGAACAGAGACTTCGACTCCTGTTAAAATAAATGTCTAGCAAGAGAACACTGATTGTGCGCGTCAGATGTCTCTGTTTGTCATTAACTACATTTGTAATGAGAAATAAATATACGACTGAAACTGCTTGAACTTCTTAAGCAAGACAGCTAGACAAACGAATAATCTCTCGAGTGCCATATAGAGTTGCCTATATGGCAATAGAAAATTAACAGTTGCACCACCATAAATGATCACATCGACTTGATTATCTAGTGGCTCAAATGTTTCATTATGTAAAAATTATTTTAATTTTGTATCAATCAATCGTTATTTAAAATTATGCATGCCTTAAGTGGGAAGAAATATGAATTAATCGACATAATTTCATAAACAGAACCAACCAGTTGTCATCGCAGCTTGAATGAGAGTCGCGATGTCTTTTACAGGCTCATAACCGATGTTCTCAAACAGACCAGAAAAATATGAGAGGTACTCATAAGTAAGCTATCTTGAGGGTGAGGGTGAGCCAAGAAGCACACCATGATCGCGATTTCCACCTTGCTTAAGGGTCTCATCAGACGGCTTAACTGTATATATATATATGTATTCTGTTCTAATGATCATAAGATCACAAACAAGATCTCCAAGTATACAGTTGACGTATTCATTTCTCGAAGGAACGATAGGTAACTTTATCATAGGGGTGAGTCAAGAAGCACACTGTGATCGCGATTTCGACCTTGCTTAAGGGTCTCATCAGTTAGTTATGACTTTGTAATTATGCAAATGATCAAAAAATCATAGATGAGTTTAGAAAATCAAATAGAGAAAGGAAGGAAGTTTAGTTTTTTAAGGTTTTTTTTGAATGAACATTATGTTTCATAATACAAAAACGAATAACAAGAAACATAGGTCTATGTGGAATATTAGTGAAGTGTTGGTATGAGTTGGACTTTGTCGTTTAATTATCCTATTCAATATGATTGTGATCATTATCAAGACTTGTTGGTGATGTAAAAAGTCCGTATTGTTTTTTTTCTTTTTTCATTTATTTTTAATGTGTCATTATAGGTTCACAGTATTGAAGAAGAAAGAAAAGAAATAACTATTTGATCACAATACCTATTAGTTATAGAATAACATTTTTTTATGATGGAAGGAGAAAGAAAGAAAAGGTAACAATAGAATATATCACGTAATGTACATATGAAGAAGCGAAAACTTTGTGTCATTTAGCGACATCTATTATTATATACGTTGAAAAGAGGATTGAGGAGGAAAGTGAACAGTAAGAGAGAGGCATGAAAACTTGTGGAATATACGTATTTCTATCTCTATTCTCCATTTGCAATATTTGATATACTCACGTCTCGGTTTTTAGTTTATCAATTCTTTTGTTCAACGTGGATGCGGTATGTTATAATGTGTTATTTTATTATGTTTGCTGGGTGATTATGTTTCACTTTCTGTTCTTATCTTTATTTTAGTACGTTCAGCTATGCATGATGCTCTTTGCTCTGATTGTCGATTCACTATACATTATTTGGATTCAGTGTTATGGTGGTTCAAGCAAAAGGAACTTATACACAGACCGATTGAGGTAATGTGCGTCACATTTGAAAAATTCGAGTTGATGTTTTTGAGTATTCTCAAATGCTTTCCAATCGGCTATAGTATGACGAGCTCGTTCAGCTAGCCTTCTAGGAAAGAAACTATTTTTTTCTAAAACCCATGGATTTAAACAGCGACTTATCCGAAGATGTAATTAGTTCGTATGCTCTCCACGATTGTTGAAAAGCTAGTGCATCAGGGGCTCTTTTCAAGTGATATTCAAATCGATGCCAGTAGGTATAAACATAGTCAAAAAGACTTTTTTCTCTAGATAAAACAAGTATTGCTATGTCATCCCATCCATATAGAGAGTATATTAAACGAAGACCAGAGCAGTAAACGTGATCGATTGATTGCCTCTGATTGTCGGTAAAGAAAAACCAGGAGCAGAAAAGCCAGCAAAAATGGGGTAGTGCGTATGCTAAGAATAGTTTTCTGCGTGGTGTAGTTAGTGAGGATGGTATAGTGTAAAAGATTGAGCGCAGTGCATTGTATATTTTTCATATTTTACGAATACGATCGTTGATGAATAGGCCCCACCCAAGTTTCGTAGATATGTGAGCGCCAAGGTATTTAAAAGACTTGACGAATTCGATATTTTCAGTTTTGAAATGACTGGTTGAATATGGAGGGGCAACGACACTGTGAACCAGTAATGCTTTTGTTTTGTTTACTTTTACAGGAAGCAACATATCGTCTGAGAATCTCTCCAGTTCTTCGATAACAAATTTCGCTTGTTTTTATATTTCTTCAATATTATTAGAGAAACGTTTTTCGAGAGAACCAGTTATGACAATTGCCAAATCATCAGCAAACATATGTACAGCAATGTTATGGAAAAACGCGGGGAGAAAATGAACGTGCAGTCGAAAAAGCGTTGCTGCCGTAACACAACCTTGAGGTGCACCAACATTCATTTTTATTATTCTTGAATTGGCTTCTCCAAAAGAAATATATAGGTATCTATTCTGCAACCAAGAGTGAATCCATTTCAGTAACGGTAGTGGCATGTCGAGATCATAGAGTGTTTTGATTACGGCGGAATACCACATACGGTCAAACGCAGAAAGAAAACCCACAAAAATCGTTAGGGCAGGTCTATTACACTCTGCGACCGTGAGCCTTAAATTTTCAATCAACGACAAAATCCTCGTTTGTAGACGTCTTCCTTTGGTGAAACCGCTCTGCTCGTCAACGACAATGTTATGAGAATGGCACCACTCTTATATTCTGTCGTGAACAATCCTCTCAAACCATTTAACAATGTTGGGTAGGGTGTGTGGGTGAGTGTGAGTTAATATAAGAGAAACAACCACCCTACCTAACCCTCACACCCACCCACACCCACACCCCACCCACACCCCACCCACACCCACACTCACACCCACATCCACATCCACATTCACACCAACACCCACACCCACCCTTTTAATACAGATGCATGGAGAATATTTATAAAATTTCTCACAATGAATTGGAACTTTTATGAATATACAACGTTAAATGTAAATTGTAATGATTACTTATATGATGATAGATATATTATAAAATCAAGATTAGGATACGGTTTAACTTCAAGGGTTTATTTGTTACAGAAAATTAAAAATAATGAAAATCCTGATGATCCAAGATCGTTGATATTAAAAATCTCGAGACGTGATAGATATTCAGAATATTTAAGAAATGAATTTCAAATATTACGAAAATGCAAAGAACAACCAAATAATTCAAAAAACTTTAATAAATTTTTTGAAGATGTTTTAGCAATATCACCTACAGGTAATATTTGTTTATTAAATTTTTATTTCATGTTTTCAATAGATTCAAAATTGATTGAAAAAAAATTGAGAATTTTGTTTTTTTGCGTTTCAAAGTATTTAGAAAAATATAAGAAAACAAAAGCTTTAATGAGAAACTAATATTATAGAAATCGTAGTTTTTCAATAGAATTTATTTGAATGAGAGTTCGAAAAAAAAAGAATTACTCATCATAATAAATAAATAACAAGAAGATTAGTTTTCTGTGAATAGAATAGATCGAATAAAATAAAGTTCTGAATTAATTTATGGTGAAATATATTTTTATTCGTTCTTTTCTGAGATATTTATAATTAATAAAAGAAGAAAAACAAAACTACATAAATTTATTTTTATATGTATGAAAAAAATTATAAGTATTAAAATCAAAAGGCTAAGTGAAGTTTTAATTTAACATTAAAAACTATAAAAAAATTGATTTTTGATGATTATATGGGTGCGACCAACTGGCAGGAGGCCCCATTTTGATACACTCCTATTGTAAGGATAAAACATACTATTGTTCGGGTCATATAACAGAGGATCCTAGATAACCCTAGATTGGCCCGAACAACATAATGTTTTATCCGTACAATAGTAGAAAAGAGCTACTAGCTTATCGTGTGAGTTGGTAGCTCTTCTCTACTATTGTACGGATAAAACATGATGTTGTTCGGGCCAATCTAGGGTTATCTAGGATACTCTCTTATATGACTCGAACAATAGTATGTTTTATCCTTACAATAGGAGTGTATCAAAATGGGGCCTCCTGCCAGTTAGTCGCACCCATATGTATAGGTTATTCAGGAATTCATTTAGACAAAAAAACAAAACATATTGAATATTTCTGTCAGTTTTCAACGAGATTAACTGATTTTTTTCTAAAGGTAAAGAACAGATCAAAGTTTTGGGTGTGGGTATGTGGGTGGGTGTAGGTGTGTGGTTGTGGGTGTGTGGGTGGGTGTAGGTGTGTGGGTGTAGGTGTGGGTGTGTGAGTGTGGGTGTGGGTGTGGGGTGTGGGGTGTGGGTGTGGGCTTTAGCCTTAATTTGAACTACGCCCACACCCACACCCCACACCTATACCCCATACCCACACCCCACACCTATAC